TCTTTCTTTCTTTCTTTCTTTCTTTCTTTCTTTCTTTCTTTCTTTCTTTCTTTCTTTCTTTCTTTCTTTCTTTCCCTGCTGCATGGCCAAAAACCAACTGAGCAAAAGAATGGAATTCATAAACCACATTTGCTCAATTGGAGGAGGACTCTTCCTCTCCAGATAAATGCCTGCAAATTGAGGTAGTCATGTTTGTTGATGAGAATAGAAAAATCAGCTCAAAACAAAGGGATGAACAAGTGGCTGGAAAGGTACCGGAGAGGCGGGGCGATATATGGCAACTGCAGTGACATTATTGCATACTTAGATGTGGAAAGACTCAATACTACGTACAAGGGGAAAATAGTTGGTAAAGATGATGACATTTGCAGAGATGGTTAAATTGACTTGATTAAAAAAAAGTCAACTTCTATATTCTAAAGTCAACTGGAAATGCCTTGTAGATTTGTTGCCTTGAAAGAGAAAAAAAGAAGGCCTTTATCACTTGGGATATTGATGATTGGGAAAAAAATGGATAATATATAAAAAAGTAAGGCTTTTCTTATTTGTAACCATAGAATAAAAGACATATTCTCTTTAAAACTTTTAATAAAGAGTTATACAAAAGAAAATGTGGAGGATTGTATGGAGGGAGACCAGTGGTGGGTTTCCAATATTCTTACCACCGGTTTGCCCCGCTTGCGCATGCTCTCTTCACGTGCACACCTTCCACATATGTACCTGGCCTTTGGTGCAAGCGCTTTGCTTGCTCATGCCCCTTTCAGGACAGGGCCAGGACAGGTGGGTGGGCCTACCCACAATCTCTGCTATCAGTTCAGGCGAACCTGTATGAACCGGCTAAATACCACCTCTGAGGAAGACCCTGTGCTGGCAAGAGAAAATGTTCTTTTGCCAAATGCCATTTGGATTTAATCCTGTTTATCTTACATGCCTTTTACACCTGCTATATTTTTGTGATTATCTTTTTTATTTGCTCACTATTGAAGGTGATATGTTATGATTTGAAGATGCTTCTGACAGAAATAAATAAAGACACAAACACACACAAACAATTCATCACACACACACACACACACACACAAATAACACAGAGACCCAGTCATCACCTGGATGGCTGAGATGAGAGAGAGAGAGACAGAGACAGAGAGAGACAGGAAGAGAGAGAGAGAGAGAGAGAGAGAGAGAGAGACAGAGACAGAGACAGAGAGACAGAGACAGACTGAAAGAGAGAGAGAGAGACAGACAGATAGAGAGAGAGACACACACACACAGAGAGAGAGAGAGAGAGAGAGCATTCTAATGTTGGGTTAAGAAAGCTGGCACAGCATATGATTTTCTTTCTAGTCATTTTTTTTTTTTTTGATAGAATTGTCTTAATCTCCGGGGCATTTTTCTCCAGAGTAAATATGATAGTAGTTGTGTTTTAACAGCTAAGCCTACATTGACAGGTTTAAGTGAACCATCAATCATGGGCCACACTGGACACGAATTGTGGGCTGGGATTATTTTTTATCATCTCCTGCTTTTAATCTTCACGAAGAAGTTGGCTGGATTAAGTGACTCTTTGCCCTGATCCAGAAAACTGCATCTCTTACACCAGCATAAGTGTCTGATCCGTTGGCCTCTTAGTCAACTAGTTTCTTTTCTGGATTCAGATGGAAAACTCCAGTGGGAAGAGGAAGCAAATGTTAATCGCCTGAAAAGCACAGAGGTGAGAATGAAAATTATACACTATCATCTATGGGGACAACATTGAGAGAATTTTCCTAGCCATGAGGTTGGATTTCTTTTTTTCAATGTAGCAGCAAATGATGGATAGTGATTGAAACAGGGCATTCTATTCCTGGGTTCCTTAATTTGGTTCCACTCTAAGAAGTCCTTAGGTACTTCAGCATGGTCATTGCTGAGAATTCTGGAAAATTGAAATCGTCATATCTAAAGAAAAAAAAATACCCAGATTGTGGGATTAACTTTCTCTATTGAATTTACTTGAGTAGAGTAGAGTAGAGTAGAGTAGAGTAGAGTAGAGTAGAGTAGATAGAATAGAATTAGAATAGAATAGAATAGAATAGAATAGAATAGAATAGAATAGAATAGAATAGAATAGAATAGAATAACAGAGTTGGAAGGGAGCTTGGAGGTCTTCTTGTCCAATCCCCTGCCTAGGTAGGAAACCCTACACCACTTCAGACCAATGGTTATCCAACATCTTCTTAAAAACCTCCAGTGTTGGAGCATTCACAACTTCTGGAGGAAAGTTGTTCCACTGATTCATTGTTCTAACTGTCAGGAAGGGTAACTGTCACTTGCCTTGACATCACTTTCTTCTCCTTCCACAGGCTTTGCTGACCCTCACCGTTCCTGAATACAGCAACAAGAGAGTTTCACGGCCCATTCAGACATACTTCTATATTTCCAATGGGCGCCGGAAAAGAAGTCCAGCTCAAGGCTTCAAATATTTGCCTGGTAGGTGGACCTCGAAGGTGGGAGATGAGAGTGGTTGGGTGCTAAAGTGTGCTTGATGATCCCTGCCAACCTTCTCCTCTTCTTCTCTAGTGATTTTCAAAGAAGAACCCCATCCAGATTCCACACCCCATACGTTCCCACACATCACCCCAAATGTTCCCTTTTCACTACCGCCAGCACAAGGGGCCATGGATTTCTCCCCTTCCAGACCTCCCTTCTCTTACAGTCCTGAGCGCTCCCCACCTTGTTCCCCCTATGGCTCCAACTGGAGCCCTTGCTCTTTCTCAACCCCTCCCCATTACAGTCCGGCCTTCCGTTTCCCTCCCAGCGAGACCTATGGGGGCGTTAATCTCTCTGTACCCCGCCTTGCTCCCCCAAACCTGCCCCACCTTCATGCTTTAGATTGCCACCCTCCACACTTTCAGCCCTCTAGTCCACAATTCAGTCCTCATGCACCAGGACAGAGAGAAACCCACAGCGGGGAGAGGTCACCGGAATGGACAGAACCAGACCTTGGATCCCAGGAGTTTAACCCCAAGGAACTGGAGAAATCGGGGTTTAGCAGTGGCTTCCGGGAAAACTTGCCTATCCATGGGATCACACTGGAAGAAGGTAAAGGTAGATTTGTGAAGCTTTCCATAAATTTGGTTTCAATTTAAGAAGAATAACAGGATTTTCCTCTCTTTTCCCCCCCTATATGCAAAATATGGAAACCCAGCCCTGCCAAAATCAGGTCATAATAACACAGAATAGCAATAGCTATTTCCAATATTCTTACCACTGGTTCACCATGCGTGCACTTTCCGCGCATGTGCTTTGCTTGCGTGGGTTTCCAATATTCTTACCGCTGGTTCACCACGTGCGCGCCTTCCGTGCATGCACCCAGCCTTCCGCTCATGTGCTTTGCTTGCGGGAAGGCCTTCCACGCATGCACCTGTCCTCAAAAGCGTGGCTAAGTAGGACAGCGTTATACCCCACCCCACCCCCACCCCACCCCACCCCATCCCACCCGACCCACAGTTGCTGCAACCAGTTCGCCGGAACCGGTCCAAACCGGCTGAATACCACCTCTGACTTAGAGTTATATACTGTTCCATAGTGCTTTATAGCATTCTCTGAGCTGTTTACAACATTAGTATATTGCTTCCAACAATCCTCATTTTTATTAACCTCAGAAGGATTTAAAGCTGAGTCAACCTTGAGCTGGTCAGGATTGAACTCCTAGCTGTGGGCAGAGTTAGCCTGCAATACTGCATTCTAACCACTGTGTTACCAGGGCTCATGGTGTGAATGCTTGCCTGGAGTTTTCAGATCAGAGCTGCAGAAATGAAGATCACCCAAGATGGCAGGAGCGAGACACAGAAAATTATCTTGCTTCCATCTAGTGGTCCTCTGGAGCTTTGCAGTCCAGATCTGGTAACCCTTGCCTCTCTTGAAAAAGCTCAGTTGTGTCTTGCTGATAATACTAAATTAGCATAGGTGGCAGAATGAGGTTGGCACTGTGTAATCTGGTGCCACGGGAAAATGACAGGCCACAGATGGCAGATGGCCCAGAATAACTGGCATTTATAGTCTTTCCACTTTCTGTTCATATCAGTGAATGGTTAAGCCAACAGTCATATTCACTTGTTCTCAAGAGACTGGTCAAATGAGACTGAATTTGAAAATAAAGTTCAACGCAAGTGTGTACATAGGACTAACCTTAAGCTTATTTTCAGAGTATTGGGCATTGACTTAAAATTCCAGCTGAGCTCTATCTATCCTTAAATTTTGAATGATGGAGCAATTGGTAGTGGGATATTAGCGGAATTTGGTGGAATTATAGATGAAGAAAGCTGGGATTTCCCTGTAGTCTTCCATTCAAGTACAGACCAGTGGTGAAATCCATTTTTTTTACTGCCAGTTCTGTGGGCATGGCTTGGTGGGGGTGATGTGGCTTTGTGGGCATGGCTTTGTGGGCATGGCTTGGTGGGGGTGACAGGGGAAGGATACTGCAAAATCTTCATTCCCACCCCACTCTAGGGCCAGCCAGAGGTGGCATTTGCTGGTTCTCCGAACTACTCAAAAGTTCCACTACCGGTTCTCCAAACTACTCAAAATTCTCCAGAACCTGTCAGAACCTGCTGGATTTCACCCCTGGTACAGACTCACTCCAGCCCTTTTTAACATTTTGAAGATTGCTAGCTACTGCCATCGACTCTAGACTTACACAGTGTTAAGCTATACATCATAATTTCCAAGCCATGATGGTTGGGTTCACAGACCAAACCAAACTAAACATTGATGACATTATGAATTTGAGGATTATTTTGGTCAATTTTTCAGTGCATGTACCTGGAGATACGAGAAGCTAAATCTGAGATCCTAGGCCTGAAAATGGGTGTTTGTGTCAGAGTTTGTTGCAGCACACACAATCAGACACTTCAGCAGGATTCAATTTACATATAAGAAACTTCCTTTATCTACAATACCATACAGCAGAATTCAGCATGCAATATCAGGAACACAGAAGCAATATTCATAGAAGCAAGTCATTACAGAGTAGAGAGATACAGAGGCTAATATATTGTACAGAGGCTCCAATTACAGAGGCAAAACCAACTCTTATATACAGTTCAACAAATCTAAGCCACGCCCAGACTCCAAATTGTCTCTTATGGCCCCATACAAACAAATACTAACAAATACTATGTTTCAACTATCCAAACAGTCCCCATTGGCTAATCTATTCCAGTCTATGAATATTCATACTCTGACAGTGTGATTAATTCCCCCTTCAAATCCCTCCAAATTTGAGCATGAAACTTACCGTATTTTTCAGAGTATAAGACGCACCTTTTCCCCCCCCAAAAAAGGAAAATCTGGGTGCGTCTTATACTCCGAATGTAGCCCCGCCCAGCTTCTCCAACTGAGGTTTCAGAGGCTGAAAAAAGCATCAGAAACGAAGCTTCAGAAAAAAAGCCTCCAAACAGCTTCAGAAAAGAAGCCCCCAAGCAGAGCTTCAGAGGCTTTTTTTCTGAAGCTCTATTTTGGAGGCTTTCAGAGGCAGGAAAAAAAAGTTTTTTCTGAAACAGAGTTTCAGAAGTTTCAGAGGCAGAAAAAAAAGCAAAAAAAAAAAAGCAAGGCACAGAGCTCACAACCAAGGAACCTGTTGTTAAAATTCACTTCTGAGAACAGCTGATGGGGGTATTCCGGGAGGCTGATCCACCTGCCAATCAGATTTTTTCTTATTTTCCTCCCCAAAAACTAAGGTGCGTCTTATACTCTGGTGCAGGGGTAAAATCTAAAATTTGTTACTACCGGTTCTGTGGGCGTGGCTTGGTGGTAGTGGTAGTAATGTGACTGGGTGGGCATGGCCAACTTTTTTTTTTTTTAACTTTTAAAAGCATTTTTTTTACAACCTCTTCGGCCAAAGAGGTTGCAGAAAAAAATGCTTTTAGAAGCCTCTGACGATTAGGCAACTCAGTTGGGATCGTCAGAGGCTTTTAAAAGCATTTTTTTCCCTAAAATGCTTTTAGAAGCCTCTGACAAGCCCAACTGAGCCACGTGATCATCAGAGGCTTTTTTTTTACTTTTAAAAGCATTTTTTCGGCCGAAGAGGTTGTAGAAAAAATGCTTTTAAAAGTAAAAAAAACAGCCTCTGATGATCGCGCGGCTCAGCTGGGCATGGGGGGGGGGCGCAGGGATTTTTGCTACCGGTTCTCCGAACCACCCGCCGCCATCGCTATCGGATCTGATGATCCGGTCCGAACTGGGAGCATTTCACCCCTGCTCTGGTGAGTTTTATACTTCGAAAAATACGGCAAATTGCTACCCAATGTTTCTGCCCAGTCTTCTTGTCCTTTGCTCAAGAGATGATTGACTTAAGCCAGCAGTGGAGCAGCCAACTAGCAGATGAGAATTAGAAGGCCTTTATCCACTCACAGGGGGCCTGCAAGGCACTATCCTTGTTCAAAACAGATCTTGGGAATTATGATTCCAGCACAGTCGCTCATAATAAATTTCCCACAATGAGAAGTGTTGCAGACTAAGCCTCAGAAATTTCAGTGGTTTGGTTAAGGCCACCTAATGAGTTCACAAGCTTCTGTATGGTGAACTTTTCCATGCCTGACTAGATGGCTTGTCCATCAGAAAGGTTGGCAGTTCGGCAATTTGAAAGGAGACTACATGACCTCCAAGATCCCTTCCAACTCTGTTACTGTTATAAATTGGCTCTCTCTCTCCCTTTCTTTTTTCTGACTATTCTCCCCAGTTACTGAGATCATTGGCAGGGACTTAAGTGACTTTCCGGAGCTATCCTGCAAAGGAGGACAGAGCTGAGAAGCGACCAGAATCCTGAAGTTCATAAAGCTTCAAGAAGTCAACCCAGAGAAAGAGAAGATGTCCAAGATCACACAAACTACAGCTGGGCCAGACTTTGACATTGATGAGTTTCCTTTTTTTTTTTTTTTAATCTTCTGCCTGTGTTTTCTTTCAGTCTTCGATTAGGGGCCTCCTATAACTCAAGGCAGAGTCTTCAATAAATCTTCTGTCCACCTGCCCTTTACAGTCAAGAGGCTTCAAGGAGCTCATACCATCATCACTCCAAGACTGGAGCACCTGTGGTCCTGAAGAAGTTGCTAAATGATCATTCCCAAGCTCTAACATTTACTATGTTGGGGGGATTGGATATCAGTTGCTTCACCATCTTTCTTCTACTTAATATCTGTCCTCTTATCGGTCCATTTATTTATCTGGTACTCCAAGATAAAGAGTTTGGGCAAAAGAGTGAGACTACCTATTGAGTTACCATGCTCTCTGTAATGCTTATTCCTTTTATTTATCTGCTCCACATTTACGTTTTGGAGAGCTGAATGTCCTATGATAATTGATTCCATGGACTAATCTATTTTACAGTAGTGGCCAAAATTGTGGAAAACTTTTGGGAAAAGTGTACTTGTGAGGTTTGATGGCTAATAACACCATTTTTATTTTTATTTTTTTGGAGTTTCAAGATAATCATATTCCATTGCTGGAATGACCTGGGGATAGCCCAGACCTTAACCCAATTGAAAATCTATGGAGCTGACTAAAGAAGCGACCCAGCTATAAAAGCCAGTTAATAGAAGCAATAATTCAATCTTGGTTTCACATTATAACAGCTGCAGAACTAAAATACTTGGTTCATTCCATGGGAAGATGTTGTAAGGCCATAATTCATGCTAAAAGTTACCCGACTAAGTATTAACTGACATGGTGAAATACAGTTGATATATCACCAATACATGGTGATATACAGTTTTTGTATATCTCATTTTTTCTGTGGTGATCATTTTTGTATATCTCATTTCTTCAACGTGTTTCACTTTTCTTCTTTATACTGTAATTGCTATTCTAATAGCAAATCCTTCATAAAAGTTATTGCATTATGTTCTTGATTAAATTATCTTTCCATTGATACATAATTTTATGGTACTATTCCCTCCAAAAGTGGTGTCATTAGCTAGTTTTAGAAAATACACTTTTCCCAAAAAGTTTCAACAATTTTGGCCACTACTGTATATGGCTATCTAAGTAAGAACCTCAGTTTCCCAGGATGTTATGTCTATCCTACACATTTGTCCAGAGTTTTCTGTCATGTCCATCCTGTTTGTTTCCTCAAAACCAGCAAGAGGGTTGCCATGCTACCCATTTCACCTTCTATCTACCTCTCATCCTTTCTCTAACGGAGAAAAGCTTCAGACTTATTCTCTGCCCAACCCCATCCTACTATAGAGGAATGATGATAATAGGAGATGCTTCTCTAACCATGACTGTTGTGGTCCGCCAGCAGCCTGCGGAGCTGGCAGTGGAGTCGGACAGCCATGTGGCTGAGGAAGAACATGGGCCAGTCCTGGAGGCTGGGGAAGGCCAGGATGAGGGCTCTGCATCAGAGGCAGAGATGGGGCCAGGGCCACTGGGGAGTGATGTGTGGACTTCGGAGCCTCCAGAGGCTGACAGTAGAGAGGCAGAGGAACAGGAGGAGCCTGTTCCTAGTGCATGTATGAGAAGAGCTGCCAGAAGGCAGGAGCAGCTAAAGCAGTGAGGATGACTCGGGAGTAGGGCCAAGAGATTATTGTCCCCTCCCATAAGGCTTAAAAGGCCAGCAATGGCTCTTGGCCTCTTTGCCGGAAAACAACCATTGAGAGAATTGCTTCTTGTTTGGCTATAGTTATTTCTTCTGTTCCTGAACTGTTGCCAAGAAAAGCCTTTGGCAGTTTGCCTAATTATCCCAAGGTCAGAGATAAACTAAAAACTGATGTTTTAAGGACTTTGTTTTCATTTCATTTAGAATACACTGAGAATGAGTTAATTCTCAGATGTCTTAATAAAATCTGTTTGTTTTTTGGAACTGTTTTGCATTTAATATCAACTACGTGGGCCTGGGTCACAACAATGACATTCAAAACAGTGTTTGGTAACAACAGGTCTTTGTGCATCCCCATTGTAGGATTCCACAATGAAATGTGATCAATAAAAAAGATAAGTGTCCCTAAAATTCTTGATCTTTGTATATCCTCTGGAACACGGGCCTCCAACCTTGGCAACTTTAAGACTTGTGGACTTCGACTCCCAGAAATCCAGCTTTGCTGGCTGAGGAATTCTGGGAGTCGAAATCCACAAGTTTTAAAGTTGTCAAGGTTGGAGACCCCTGCTCTGGGAAAACACATCTGGTTGATACAGAGAAACAAATCAAAAGAGGATGGATATGTGCAGATTTCATCCCATTTCTGCATGTTCCCCAAACTCTGTTCTGCTCCTTTGAAGATGTTCAAGAAATAAGACCAGGGATTAAGTAAACAAATAAAGTTTTTTAAAAAATATTTGGTGACCATCCGGAAAGCTGAATTACTTGGGTTTGTCAAAGGAAGCATTGATCCTGCATATATCGTAGGAAGGTTCTCTCAATTGCATTTGTTGATGTCACTGAAAAGAGGCTTATGTTGTAAATTTCTCAGTTGTCTCCTCACAACGCAAGGTGAACAGCACATACATTTAATTGTTGTTGTTAGTCGTGAAGTCATGTCCGACTCAGGGGTGGTATTCACTTACCTTCGCTACCGGTTCACAAATTTGAGCGCCTACCTCCGCGCATGCCCAGAGCGTCAAAAATGTGGATAAATGGGACGTGATGACATCTGGGCGAGTGGGCGGAGCTTCCTGCAGCCGCCGCTATCGGTTCGCCTGAACCAGATAGAACCAGCTGAATACCACCACTGGTCCGACCCATTGCAACCTCATGGACAATGTTCCTCCAGGCCTTTCTCTCCCATCCCCCGGAGACCATTTAAGCTCACACCAACCTCTTCAGTGACTCCATCCAGCCACCTCATTCTCTGCTGTTCTTTTCTTCTTTTGCCCTCAATCGTTCCCAGCATTAGGCTCTTCTCCAATGAGTCCTTCCTTTAATAAATGTAAATAAATAAATGTGGCCGAAAAGATCCATGAGGAGCCCTAATGACATCATAGCACATATGATGTTATTTCCTCCTCCTTCTCTGTAGATTGGGGTGTCAAACTCATGTTGTCATGGTGTCATCACATGACGTATTTTGACTTTTCCCCCTCTGCTAAACTGGGTGGTGGGCGTGGACAGCACGTGACACATCTGGCCCACGGCCCACGAGTTTGACAGCCCTTCTGTAGATGCTAGTGACTAATTATTTTGGACTTGCTTCTGAGGAAAATAGATAAAAGTCATTGTGGCAAACTCCTACTATTCATACTAAAAGAGCCCCAAATTTCTACTCTTGGAAGGGCTTTGCGTTGTGAAATATAACAACAACAACAACAAAAAGACAAAGTCAATGGTTGAATATTATAAAAATTACACAAGTATTTCCAAGTGATGAAACTGGGATCTTGATATTTCTTTTTTTTCTTTTTAAAATTTTATTGAATAAACAAATATATTACAATTCAACCTTTTTGGTTTGGCAACGTGTAGTCATACTATATGCTTATAAATATGGTAGCTAATAGGTTATATAGATAATTTACATTCAGAATCGTAAGATATTTATGAAATTAATGTATTATAAGTCATAATATAATAGTACATAAGTTAAGTTAATAATTAAGTGTTGTCCCCCTTAGTAATTAACTTTTGCATTTATTTCCCAACCACCTATACCACAAATCCCATACCGTATAAAACTCTGAATCTTCCTTCTCATTTAGTACATATGTTAATCTACACATTTCTGCGCATTCCAATATTTTGTTAACTATATGCTCCTCAGTTGGACATCTTTTCTCCTTCCAATGTTGTGCATAAGAGATTCTCGCAGCTGTAACAATGTGGATAATTAGATATTTCTTCTTCTTCCCATATGCTCGTTTCAGAACTCCCAGGAGGTAAATTTCTGGTATAAGGGCAATCTCCTCCTCTATTATTTCTTGGATCCATTTTTGTATCAATTTCTTGATATTTCTATACGACAGGAAAAATTCCTGAATTTGTGTATGTTTTAAAAAAATGCAAGTCCTCATGAACTCACTCCTCTCAAAGGAACAAATAAAGTGGAGGAAAGGTTTTTTGGAGATCTCTATAATGAATTGAAGATGCTGATCATAAGAAAATACAGGGCTTTAGCTATCAGTACCTGTGTGTTTAGTTCAGTCATATGCCTGTATGAATCTTGTTGTCATGCATTTGCCTGCCACTAATGTTAAAATCTTATCTCCCAGATGTTTCTGCATACCGCAGGCATAACTGAATTGGTGTGATATCTTTGTTCTGATTATGGTATAGGTAAATATATTCACAAATCGGTAAATAACTTTAACCCCAATCCATTTTGCAGGACAAAAATAGCTACTCTGTTTTCCCCAAAATAAGACATCCCCTAATAATAAGCCCAATCAGGCTTTTGAGTGCATGGCAATAAGGCCAAGCACTTATTTCAGGGTTAAAAAAAATATAAGACAGGCTCTTATTTTCGGGGAAACACGGTAGATGGTCAAAATAAACGGACATAACCTATCAGTGTGCAAAAAAGGAACAAGAGTAACCTGCCTTTCTCAAGCTAAGCAGGAAACACAAAATTAATGATCATGCACAATCATTATTTCAGCTTTCATTTTATATTACATATGTTCCTTTCATGGTCATCTCAGCCTTGGCTTTCAAGAAATCAAAATCTAATCTCAGCAAACATAGCTGGATTAAAATTAAAGGTTGGGAAAAGGGGATGCAGATATTTCTCCTCATTCTTCAGTCCCAACTGTCTGCCTTTACTTGTAACAAAACATTACAATCTTGGAGTCCTGGTGGACAACCATTTAGATATGAGCCAGCAGTGTGCAGCAGCTGCCAAAAAAGCCAGCACAGTTCTGGGTTGCATAAACAGAGGGATAGAATCAAGATCACGTGAAGTGTTAATATCACTTTATAAGGCCTTGGTAAGGCCACACTTGGAATCCTTTATTCAGTTTTGGTTGCCATGATGTAAAAAAGATGTTGAGACTCTAGAAAGAGTGCGGAGAAGAGCAACAAAGATGAGTAGGGGACTGGAAGCT